AAGTCGAAATAGATCATCATAAAATTTTAGTCAGAAATGTCTCAATTGGGGGGTCGTCGGCTAAAATTTGCCTCTATTTTGTTGCTTACCGAAATTTTCAAATTCAAATGCCACCATATGATAGACCTTGATGTCCTCTACAAAAAAGGTACTCTTTATTTCTTTCGATAAAATGCTCCATTTCCGAGAAAAACGGATTTAAGCATTTCATTATATTGCCTCAATAAAACTCAAAAAATATTTCTTGAATAGCTAAAACGTACCATTATGAATTTTGATATATCATCATACAATTATACATTGTAATCAACAACGTGAAAAGTGCTTAGAAAAGTTTGTTATGGGCGTCCCATATTTTTCACGTTGTTTGTTACAATTTATAATGATATGATGAAATATGAAAATTCATAATGGTACATGTGCCCATTTTAGTCATTCAAGACAAATTTCTGAATGAATAGCTTAAATCCGTTATTCTCGTAAATGGAACTTTTTATCCAAAGAAATAAAGAGTACCTTTTTTGTAAAGGAAATGAAGATCTATCATATGTTGGCATCTGAATTTGAAAATTTCGACAAGTAAAAAAATAGGGGCAAATTTTAGCCGACGACCCCCCCAATTGAGACACACCTGACTAAAATTCTTGAAAAATTTTATGATGATCTATTTCGACTTTTAATTAGCGTTCGTGGTGTCAAAATTCATAATTTTCCTTAAACCCGTTTCGAAAATATTTAAAAAAATAATAAATTTGTTGAGGCCCCATTTAAGGGGCGTAGCTCCCTTAGGAAGCATTTCTCGATCCACGTTTATTTGAAAAAATATTCTTATTTTTTGGCAATATAATCAAGTGGTAAATTGTTGGCCACTAATTATGAGACACCCTGTATAGGAAAAGCGTGATTTTTGTCTCTGGATATTTCGACACCTATCTTTTTCCATAGTCAAAACTTTTGATTTCTTTGCTTCGTATGTCAGTTTGACGTTTTAAAAAGTAGCTTTTTATATTGTGATATGTCCATTGTCCATATTTTCGTTTATTTGTATAGTACTTTTCAACATGGAATGTATAGACCATAAACTGAATGATGGAATGATGGAACTCTTATTTTGTATCTTTGGTACCTACTAGTGATGTAACGAATATCCGCATTCGCATTCGCGAATATTCGTTTGAAATATGATATTCGCATTCGCATTCGCAAATATCTTTGAATATTTTGCGAATATGAACGTGAAAGAAAAATACAGAATGTGAAAATAATATTAGGTAAATAAGTCCATATTTCACTAGAAGTTGATTTACTCATGTTAAGAAATAACTAACAATAGTCTAACTTCACAATTCACAAACTCATCTGAGCCGGTAGCGAAAACAAAACAAAATTCCAATCATACAAAAATACCGTTCTACCAACTTAACAACGCTAATTTCTTTAGCCTCTAGCGCCGCTGTCACCGGAAATATTATGTGTGTCGCGGGCGGCGTATTTTGATTCATAGATAAACGGCGCTAGAATTAAAAACTGAATATTCGTATTCGCATTCGCGAATATCAACAACAGATGTTCGCAATCGCATTCGCATTCGCGAATGCTTAAAAACTGGCATTCGTTACATCACTAGTACCTACTGATGTAGGCATATGACTTTGTCTTATGCTATTTTTGTTTTTCGTGTTATTTTTGACTGCGTGAAGCGAATGGGCCATACTTCAATGAAAGATTATTTTGATGATCAAGTTGTATTAGTACAATTTTGTTTCCTTAAGAAGTGATCGGGCTTCGAAGAAATCTTATTTAATTTTTTTAAGGTAACGTCGTCACTTTTAAGAACATTTGAATGAAATTTTATATAGAGGGGTTTTTGAGGTAGCTGAATATGAATATGAGCTTATTCCTTACTCACCTCAAACATAGAGATCGCAAAGTGTATGTTTTTCTTGGTAGATATATTGAGAAAATGCGGGTGTGTTTTCAAACGTCATTGTATTTGCTTTAAAAAATGTGTACATAAGACCAGGCGGTATCTGTTTTGGTTTGGGTGAATCGTATATCCACGGAGCTTTTTGGTTTTTTGGCTTTCAAATATCACTAGAAATGAAAATTTTTTTATGCGCATAAAAAAACCGTGGGCTTAACTTTTGACGGCACAATATGTTAAAAAAATTGGAAAAATGTCATATTTTTCTTCCTATTTAATTATGTATCTTTTTAAGAGTTGATTTTAGGCGAAAATGGAAGAGGAAAAAAATGTTTGTAATTAATTTTTTTACAATACATGACTGGTTACAAATCGAATGAATCATGATTATTATGGTAAAAATCGAAAAAAATCACAAAAATGGGGTTAAAAAACAATACTTTTTAGGGAATTTTTTTGGTGTATTTAAATTGGTTGTAGGACCTTTATACTTGGCTCAAGAAAACTTCATATTATGTAGAATCATCACACCAAATTTCATCAAAATCGGTTCGATAGATTTTGCATAATAATTTTGCAACCCAGATTTTGTAAAAAAATTTGCAAATTTTCAAAATTTTGCACAGCAAAAACCAAGGCCCTTAGATACTTGAAAATTTAATCACATCTAGAAGAGCTCTCAGGCTTTCAAACTTTTTTTGAAAAATTCGAATCCGTCAATTAGGAGAGCTCTGGCGCTTGTTTAAACATTGGTCGAATTTTTGTACTTATAAACAATTAGAACTTTGTGAATATTCAATCAAATCAAATTTTTTAAAGCAGGTTTTAAAAGTTCTTGGAAAGACGCTTCTTTAAAAAAAAAAAACGGAACGATTGATCAATTAGTTACGTAGTTATAGCCGTCATTTACACTAAATGTACTGGGACATCCGGGCTAATTTTTCGAAAAATACCTTTGGTATTCCGAGTACTTACCAGGTCTAAGATTACAATACTTTTCTTCATTGGCAACCTACTTTAAAACGTGTTTAAAGTTATTTATGCAAGCGAGAAATTCAATAAAATCGTACGGGTGGTGGTGGTGGGGGAAGCAGAGAGCGCGGCCGCTTCGGCCTGCTCGAAATTGAATCGGCTATAACTACGTAACTAATTGATCAATCGATCTGTTTTTTTTTAAAGAAGCGTCTTTCCAAGAACTTTTAAAACCTGCTTTAAAAAATTTGATTTGATTGAATATTCACAAAGTTCTAATTGTTTATAAGTACAAAAATTCGACCAATGTTTAAACAAGCGCCAGAGCTCTCCTAATTGACGGATTCGAATTTTTCAAAAAAAGTTTGAAAGCTTGAGAGCCCTTCTATATGTGATTAAATTTTCAAGTATCTAAGGGCCTTGGTTTTTGCTGTGCAAAATTTTGAAAATTTGCAATTTTTTTTTTAATCTGGATTGCAAAATTATTATGCAAAATCTATCGAACCGATTTTGATGAAATTTGGTGTGATGATTCTACATAACATGAAGTTTTCTTGAGCCAAGTATAAAGGTCCTACACCCAATTTAAATACACCAAAAAAATTCCCTAAAAAGTATTGTTTTTTAACCCCATTTTTGTGATTTTTTCGATTTTTACCATAATAATCATGATTCATTCGATTTGTAACCAGTCATGTATTGTAAAAAATTTAATTACAACCATTTTTTTCCTTTTCCATTTTCGCCTAAAATCAACTCTTAAAAAGATACATAGTTAAATAGGAAGAAAAATATGACATTTTTCCAATTTTTTTAACATATTGTGCCGCCAAAAGTTAAGCCCACGTTTTTTTTATACGCATAGAAAAATTTTCATTTCTAGTGATATTTGAAAGCCAAAAAGCCAAAAATCTCCGTGGATATACGATTCATCCAAATATGGCTTTTTTAAACAGATACCGCCTGGACTACATGTTAAATGCCCCTAAAGTATACCGTTCTAGAGAAAAATTACCTAGACTTAAAAAAATTACGATCTTACATTCAAGAATACATTTATTTGGTATATTTGTGTATAATCATAAATTAAGTAAATAAATCCTTAGTACAATCCGATATCATAATTTTGAACTAAATTAAAATAAATAAATGATGAAGAAAAATTACTTAATTTAAATAATAAATTTATTATTGAATCAATGACAATGAATGTAAAAGTTATTATAAAGGCGGGTATCCATTTTTGTGTCAAATGCTCCGTACCGTAACACCGAACATGTTACGTTACAGCTAGTGGAGACGGAAAATTGTTGCATGCAACCGTACCATGGTATGTGTAACAAATTTAACACGCGTAACTAATCCGGGACGAACCATCAGTTGTCGGTTTTTAGTCGTCGCATCAAAGGGATGCAACAGTACTTTCTGCCACATGTTGAGACGGGGTTACTCTTTTGACCGTAACGTTGCCTGTTGTACATGTGATTTCGTCTTATTTTTTGTTTCGTCGGTCTTTTGTATATGCTCTGGGATCAGTCTGTTTTCTGCAATGACTAGGAAGAGTGTGTTTTACTGTGTTTGTGCCATGGAGTGGAGTAAAGAAAAGATTTCCGGAGATTTCCGCTTCTTATTCTTCAAAATTGTATGATGAATAAAAATATATGACGTTGCTGCTAACTGCAATTGCAGTGACGAATCCATTATTGCAGTCGGGTTCATACTACGAGTTTATGTTCCTGTGTCGTCTTGTAACCTTATTTTGTTACGTTATCGAATGAATGATACGACCAAAATCACACATACTTTCGCAGCGAACCGTGTCACCTTTTGCAACAGGCCGTAACATGTTCGTTGTTACGTTACGGAGCATTGCCACAAGTGGATACCCGCCTTAAGAATTCTATGTTTATTTATTATAAAATCGTATGTACTAAATTTTCTAAAGCACAATCTTAATTAAAACTGATTAATTTGAAATTCGATTGCCGCTTTCTGGAACACATCTGGAAAAAATTGCGTCCGTTCAATTTTTATATGTTTTACTTTACTTTCCATCAACTACCCAGCTTGTGTCGCGTGTCTGACATGTATTGCCTTTTTGCAGCTTAAGGAGCAAGCAGCTGGACAACCTCAACCCCTACGAGGTGCGCTACGTCATCTCCAAGGCGCTGGCCGTATGGTCCAAGCACTCCCAGCTGACCTTCACCGAGGTGGAGAGCGACAAAGCCGACATCCTCATATACTTTTACAGGTATTTACTTTGCTTTGGCGACAGTAGTGACAGTAATCCCCTCCGTGGGGATGAACTGTCGAGTTTATCCTTTATACCCACTAATGAAAAATGGACGGACACGTCCGCGCTGTGCAAAAAATAATGTGATAGCGATGAAAAATGTTGACGTCCGTTTAAGAGCCTCGCGTAGAAGTGGATATTGCAGTTATGAAGGAGTTGTTTTTGATAAGCTGGAAAACACCGGGTTCATAGAGTGTAACTTAATTTTATACCATTTTTATTTTTTCTAAAGAGGATTTTTTTAACAGACAAATTCCTACAGTGTAGTTTTTTGTGATTTTTTTTTTATTTAAAGGTATACAGGCTGTCCACTATAAGAAGGCCACTTCTATGAATCTCGCTTAATATACGAAGCACGTCAAAAATCTTTATATGTTTTTTGTTCAATTTTTGCCTATATGCTCGACCTAAACTTTCGGTACATTTCCGGTTTTTTTTATGATTTCTCATAAAGTTGGCCATGGACCACAAATTTGTTTTTACAAGGTCTCAAAAAAACATAAAAAGATTTTTGACATGCATCGTGTATTAAGAGAGATGCATAGGAGTGGCCCTCTTATAGTAGACAGCCTGTATATAGAGTCATTCACATAATATTCTACTTCCCTTTTGTTTTTTGCTTTCTATCTAGAAAAAAAAAATGTAAAAATTTTAAAACAATATAAACTATTGCAAAAAATTAAAGGGTCAAAAGAATTTCCGAAATTTTTTTGATTTTTGACAGACTGTATTTATAGTCCGGTCAAAATAGACATTTCAAATAACGAAAATTCCGACAGAGCTAAATTTTGGTGGAGACCTTGGGTACACCATTAGAAAAAAAGTATCAAAAGTCCCCATCGATCCTATGTGTGCTAAAAAAGTTATTCGGGGTCAAAGGTCAAAATTTGAGGTTTTTTTAACTTTGACTTTAACTGTACTTCTAATTTCTTTTGATATTTTAATCTAATTCATACTCTTCAAAGTCGACTTCAACAGTCATGTCTTCTTCGATTTCTTTTTCTTCCTCCTCTTTTCATTGCTGGATGTTCATAAATTGTTCAATTGAAGATGAATCAGCTGTCTCTTCATCGAAATCACATGAATGTTTGTCTGTTGTATTCAATTGGACATTTAGCACATAGTACACGCTGGAGAACACAGTAACCTTACTCTTCTACAGCCACATTTAGCACTACAACCTTTTTTGCAATTGCAAAAAATAGTGTTTAGGAGTTTTTCGGGAGCAGGTGGGAGTAAAGTTTGAATCGGTTCCAAAGTATTATCTGTTAATTTCCAACCCCAGTCTTCTGGGTTCAGTTGACTGCCTAGCCATGTCTGAACTTGATAGTATACTCGATACAAGTGTTGATTAGAAGCCGATGTTGGAGGAAGACAAGATAGTTGTACTTGTTTCTTGTTTCGTGTATTTTTTACAAAAGTTTTTACAATAGAGTAACCAGATGTTATTCAAGGCCATTCGTGTAGAGGGGATTGACTAAGGGACTGAGTTTATTTTGAGTGTATATTCTCAGAATAGTATAGTTTATACATACATGTAAAAGACACAAATAGGCATTTTTACTTGTATTAAGTGCCTGACTATGTATATACGTGGCATATATGTGCATATCATGTAGAACGTGACTCCTTCAACTTTTAGAATCACAATATCTCAGAAAATGGTGATTCATAGAAAAAAAGTGTAAGAGCCGTTTTTGTAGATAATTTTAAGATCTATAATTTTTGTCCGGGCTACTTTTTTGTTAAAACTTACCGCTTTCGAAAAAAATCCAAAAAACCTCAAATTTTGACCTTTGGCCCTGAATAACGTTTTTAGCACACATGGGATCGATGGGGACTTTTGACACTTTATTTCTAATGGTGTACCCAAGGTCTCCACCAAAATTTAGCTCTGTCGGAATTTTCGTTATTTGACCACTATTTTTATGACTAATTTGACCGGACTATTAGGTGAAAAATGGTTGTATCGGGAATTAATCATGATTATGAAGTGTTTAAGCTCAAAAAAGGTGATCCTTTAATTTTTTTTCAAAAGTTTGTTTGAGACAAACCAACAGTTCGCTAGATCGAGATGAAACTTCACAGGGTTCTTCTGGGTATATCGAAATGTAAAAGTCATGCTTAACATTAGTCATTTCGTGAATATTTCTAATTTAGCCGTCAATTTCCTAAAAAACCATAAATTACCTTTTTTCCTGTTTCTAAAATTCGTGAAAAATAAAAAAAATTCCGAAATGTTGAGGCAGCATTTATAGGAAATTTATTCCAGTTTTCGAAACTGCCCTTCAATTCTGTGTACGACCATTTGTCGCCGAGATATCGATGATTGAAGACAAAAGGATCCTTTTCTATTAAAAGTCCGATATTTCTATGAAAAATATATCGAAATTAAAAAAAAAGGAAATTGAAGCTGAATAAAGAAGCTATCTGGTCCATGCAATGACTTTGTTAAAAAAAAAAAATTCCAAGTCCGTGGAAAAAAATAGAAAATTTGCAAAATTTATTTGGCGCCCTATTTCTTAAAATTGTTTTAACGGAACACTGTATATTTGTTGTTTTTTTCCATTCATACAGGATTTTTCATTATAACATATGTCTTTATTCAGGATTGTGAATGCTTCGTTACCATGGTACAGGGTGTTAAAGTTAAATAATTTTTGTTTTTTCTTTGTATCTCCCACAGTTTTTCAGATACGTAGCTCAAATTTGGAATGTAGGCTAACTTAGATTACCTGCGTCATTAACCCTCCCTAATAGTTGTCACAATCTACAGGGTGACACTTTTTTTGGGGTCGAGCCTCCATTCACCCCCGCAAATTTTCTTCTGGTACGCCACTGGAATTTTCTAGGTTAAGGGTTTAATTGTCTGTTCAGTTTAGAAACTTTTTGTCTCTTGCAATGTTGTCGTATCTGCAGCCGTTTTTGAGAAAAAAATCCTCTACTTAGTAGGGGATTTTGGTTTTTAACCTGTGGTCCGCAGGCCCCTGGGGGCCCGCCATCTCCTCCCAAGGGGTCCGCGAAGACATGCTATTATGAAACACCCTGTACACATGTCACATATTTGATTTGACAGTTTGCACAATGTTTTGCTTTATTTATTAGTCTTGCACCTAATTAAAATTGCCATCGGGCATATTTTCCCATGTTAAATTTACTAAACAAATCTTTAAATTCTCATTAAAAAAATATATGTATCTTATAAGAGAAAATTTGAAACTGTTTTAATAAGAATTGACTATTTAATTAGTTTGGCTTTCAAGAAAGTAGGTATAAAACCGCGAAAATAAAGTTGCACTTTTTTAATTCGTTTATATTTGTGAAAGATTTCCTAAGGATGCTGGATCTCAGGCATCGTTAAATTTATCCAGACTGTGCAACTTCTACCCAGTTACGACCTCGTCCGATCGAAATCTCTACTAAGTACATATTGTTCAATTGGCAGTGCCCTGTTGAAAGTTTTGCAATTTCTTTGGGTCTAATCTTGCTTCTACTTCAGCATTGTCTTTGTTTGTAGTGGAGCTTGAGTGATTTGGACACTAGATATTGGATCTAGGTCGAGAACTTTGGCTTTGAGCAATTCATAACGAGTGTTTATTACTATGAATAGGTTGTACTTCGTGTACTAGTCAGAAACGTTGCCCTGGTTATTAACTTCACTTGACCAGGGTTGACGATCGATCGCATCTACTGATATCTACGCCAAATTCCCCTGTTCTGCGTTTCCTGGGTCTTCAAGTCTGCTACCTCTCACCGTTAACTTTCTTGGATTTTGAAACGTCGGTAAAAAAATGTTGGCGACGCAAGGTGCTCTGCTGACAATTAGTCCAAGCATTCTGTCACGGCTTCAGAAGGTCGTAGAAAAACATTTTTTTTTAATTCGTGAAAAAATGTCAGCAGTTTCTTTCTTTAAAAGTAATTTTCATAAAATAAAAATTGAAATAGTAATTTGAAAAAAACATACCCAAAAAAGTGCGACTTTTTCAAAGTCATTTTTTGATCCTTAAAATTAATAAAATCGTCAACATTTTTTAACAGCGTGATAATATAACTCTTTACGAAGAAAATAAACCGAAAATCGTCACTGTAGAGCTATCCGCTGAGAGGATCTAGCCAATTTTCGAGAGCGCCTTTTTTTCAAAAAATCGATATATCGAAAAATACTTAATATTTTTAAATTTTTCAAAAATGTACTTTTTGGCTTGCCGCGGGCTATGCTTGCAGTAAATAGCAAGTATGGGAACGTAGATGTAAACGAGTTTAGAAGAAGAGAAAAGAGAAGATTTTTAACGGTTTTTTCGATATATCTCGAAAAGTAACAAAGCAATCGATAGTTACAAAAAATCAGTCGATAGATCTTTTTAAAACCTACAACTTTCACAATTAAAATTTTTCAATCGGTGCTATATTTTTTTAGTTATTTTAGAAAAACCGTTTTTTGCAACTTTGCGATTCTTTTTTAACCATGTTCGCCATTTTGAATCGAGTTTAAAGAATAAGAAACTTAATTTAAAATTTAATTTTTCTATACGGTCATATTTTTTTTGTCCAGGTAATAATTTCTGTAAGCATTTCTCTATAATGCTTGGACTAAA